TCTAATCATACATGTTGCAATGTTTTCAGACATTTTTTTGCAATGAAACTGTGCCAGCAAGTTAAAATTACAAACACAGTTTTTGTATTATTCTTTCAATATTACAGGCAACTTTTTCCAGTGAGAATAAAACTGCTCTGTACTGAGTTTGTGATTTACACTACACTTACATTACCACTGACCATGTATATTTAATCTAACTCACTGATTATTTCAGCACCTGTAATCGATCTGGATGCAACAGCCTCTGTCATAGTGATTGGGCTTGTCTGTTTTCAACGTGTTTCAGCCATTCTCCAGGTGTGTTTTGTAGAATTTCGTCTGTGTTCCACCAACTGTTTACACCCTGCTTTCAGGCAGAACATCAGGGGACTGTGGTGCACGATCATTAGCAGTGATTTTTGTTGGTAAATGCAAGACATTAGTGTTGCACATCTCTGCATCTTCACAACCACAAACAAGATACTGGTTATGTTGTGCTGGGGTATTGTGGTTGGTAAAACTCACAGGAAGCTACGCTTATTTGTCAAATCTGCAGAAAAGTTGCAGCAGTTGGATAAAAATGACACTAACGATGGCTCTGTTCTATTGAAAAGTCTGAGTGAGTGTGACACTGAGGGAGCATGCACAGTACCAGGACCCTGATATCAAAGAAGCTAAACGGAATCAGTCAAATGCTGTCAATCTTCTCACCTAACTCTTGACAAAAACAGCTCTTTTCATGTAATTGTTCCTTTAAGAAGGTGTCCTCTAATGGTCTCAGAGGCTAAGTTGAATTTAACACTCAACTGTTTACAGTCTTGGGCCTGTTTTGTCAAAAACATCTTAAATCTAAAATGACAAAATACAAACTGGCAGCAAATCCAGCTGTATACATAGCCATATTTTAGCAAAAATATGAGCGTTTGGCACAAGTGGAGCGTACAGATGGACAGAGGGGAAATGGATTATGCTGAAAGAGTGGTTTGAGAAGTTTAGGTGAGTGTTTTATTTTGCCATGAAACTGGGATGCTCTTGGAATTCACTGTAACGCTTGTCAATCCAAACTGACTATTTTCCTACACAAAGGAACAAGCTATAAAGTTTTCAGAGCCACCTTTCAAGGTTTGAATTCAAAAAACATTTCCAAGCGAATGTTTAAGAGAAGTGCTTGTGGTGTTTCATGGTTGGTTTTTAGGAGGTAAGTTTAAGAAACCTTCCACTGCAAGAGATAAGCCTCTGACTTGCCTTGCTTTAAATATGCCTCAGAAATAAGGCATAGGTTTTATCCTTTAGACTCACATTGGCACTTTTTCACAGCCTCCTAGATGAGAGGATTGTTGCCCAAATGTGGCCAAAGATGTTAAACATGTTAAGATCGCCTTGGTTTCAAGCTGTAATTCCCTTTTTCCACTGGATTATCACCTCCTCCAGTCACGAAATATCACAGATCAGGGGCAGATTGTGTCAATGAGACCACAGTCTGACGCACTGTGTGCCCTTGTCGAAAGCCAAGTACTTCGGAAGATGCTGCTTGCGTCCGAACAGGCCAACCTGTGCCCACGACCCAGGTGGAAATGCAATCAAGGACCGGAGTGGGAGTGGGGATCTTATCTTATCGCTACACTCACGGAAACGAGTTTCTGCCGGGCCACCTAATCTCAACCAGAGCTGGGTGACCTTCTACAGCCAAGGCTGTAGGCAGGGGAACAGACAGCTGGATTTCTGCCTCCTCCGCAAAAGTCCTCACTTGACCATGGAGGTGATGGGTTACCAACAGCTGGATAAATTGACGTGAAGAGATGGATTTCACAGAACCTCAAACTGAAGGTTTCACTGGACTATCTGTTACAGTTGTGCTGTGAGTGGTCATTTACGGAGCTAATTATTCTTTACATCTGTTAAAAAAGAACAATGTCAAATAAATGAGGCTTTTTTTTCTTTCAAAATTTTAGATGGATAAAATTCCGCACAGAGCCAAACACAAAAATGAAATACTTTCACTTCTGTTCTTCTCCCTCTGCTTTAAATCCCAATAAATAAACTCAGTAGATGACTGAAAAATGTTAACTTTGGACAAAATAAATGAAAGCATACAAAAATCACTTTTACGACCAGACTTTGTCAGTTGACTATATTCATGAACCATTATTTGGTCCATCACCAGCAACAGGGTCTCTTGAGAGCAAGTAAAAATAAGGTTTAGATGGCCCGTCTCATGGGCTGTGACAGCTTCAACAGCAGCAAAAATACACTCAATATTGTTTGGTTTTCTCAGAGGAATACTTCAGCGCCAAATGACCATTTCTGTATCAACTACTCAGCCCGTGTTAAGGTGAATTTGTCCTGCCCTGTAACTACTCTGACTCCTCCACAGTACACTGTGTGGAGTAAACATGATGGATTTCAACAGAAGACAAATCCTTCTCATTGTTAAGATCACAGATCATCATTTAACTTTGTGTAGTAAAGCTTCAGAACAAGCACAGCCACTGAAACCAGAGTGTAATTTCTGTATTTACCTGCTGATGCAGCACATTCACACACACTGTGTTTCTGTATATTTGGCCTTGGCAATGTTTGAGCTGACATCAGCAGCAAAATTGCAATGGCAAGTCTATACATGCTGCTTTTCACACTGCTGTGACTGAGGGGGAAGGGAACGTGGGACAGTTTAAGAGCCAGATACAGCGTTTTCAAAGGCCGTGGGCCCATGATTCATCTTCAAACTCTGGCTAACTTTGAAGAGTTCTGCCATGAGACATGTTTTAAAGCACCTGAAGACAGGGAGTGGTTTTAAAACCGACATCAACGTTTGAAGCACTATCAGGAGATGTGCTGACAGCTTGAATGAGCACACTAAAGAGTTCTGCTCAAAACAAATAAGGGGTTGGAAAAAAGACTCAGCACAGACATTTAAATGACTGACTAATCACTGTCTTGTTGCTTTACCCTTTAGAGAGTCCAATGTTAGGTAAGCCCATGTGATCATGAGGTTTGGAGCAGGTTTATTTTACCATATCTAGTGTAGCCTCCAAAAACAAAAACAATGACATCGAAAAAGAAGTGTTAAAGCTCAGTAACACCAGCATTTAAAACAGCAAAAGTTTTTAGCAAAATCAATGAGTTTGCCCACAGGGTGAAGTAAATCTGTGCATATTTTGAACATCAAGTTCAACTGTGGTGTGCTAATTTGCACCACTTGATTAGCAAGCCATCTTGACAGGGCTTACCTTCAAGGAACACAGAATCAGAGCGTTCATTTCTGTTGGAGTAGCCTATTAACTGCTCCACAAAAGAGGCCTGGTTTTTATAAAGTTATGAGACGGGAGTCCATGGTGCAAATATGCCCCCTTGAATTAACAGTGCAAATATATTGTCCCGCTAGAGATACTGAGTTGGAAATAAACAGTCAGTAAGTTTGCCAGCTTTTTCTGCTCTTCGATAGGTGTGTTTCCATTCAACTGGCCAGCAAATTTAAAGTGAATTTTTGAAATGTCACAAAAAAGAAATGTGAATAAGACACGTTTACGTCTAGTTGATGGTAGGGTTGGGCGTTGATGTCTATCGTGAACCACCCAAATAGACGAAAACACAAAGATACGCACTCATCAACCACCTGAACACGACTCAACCCACAAACAACTAACGTAATGCTTTATAGTAGCACAACTGTCAGAACTGAGGACTTTCACAATGTTGAATCAGTGATTGATGAATGACAGCCATCGGCCCAAAGCTAGTTAGCAGTATAGGCTTCGCTTTATACATTGCTGTAATCCACCGTTACATGGGGAATAAGTAGAGGCTGCAAAGCAGTAACCAAACAAGTTGCCTCAGCCATCAAACCCATCTACGAGAGAAATATGGAGAGGTTTACAGGAATTTGTTTCAAATAGGCAAGTTTTAATTGTTGTTTCCAGGGTCCGAAAATTAACACCCGCCACAATAAAAGCCCTAGAAATACACACTGCATCACTGCTTACCAGGGTTGAAATGACTTTTTTTGTTTACCTGCCACTGTGGCTGGTGGACAGCAAAATCTACCAACAAGGGATCACTGTTTGCTTCTGATTTTGATCTGGCCTCTTCTTTAAGTTTGTATCAACATAACACCATAATATCTCAGTAAAATGTGCTGGAACAAATGTATATGTGAATCAAAAAAGCCAATTTATTATTTGGCCGGTAAAAATATGCATCTACCAGCCACCTTGGCCGGTATGTCAAAATGTTTTTCAAGAAAGGCAAAAACCACCTCGAGCAAGCATGAAAACCTTTTTGGCCATTGAAGAAGTTTTATCAAATTTTGCGTCTTTCATGCAGCTTTTTTAATGTGGCACTTCAAAATGCACATGAAGATACATTAATGGAATCACAGCTACGAACTCTTCATTGAATTCAATAACGTACAATCCTGAAAAGAGCAGTCTAGAGAAAACAGAAAGAACCTTGGAACAAACATCAGCTTGTTTTCACCTTGCAAGTGTTAGCCATTAACTTACCAAACAGAGTAGCTGACCAGCTAACCATGCAATAATCCTCCACTAACAAGCCTCTAGTGCAGCCTATGTTATAGATGAATTTCACTGTGTGAGTGGGCCTTTACTACCTAGCTTTGCCCAAGAAGCTTCCTCCAAGCAAAAAGGGAAAAGGATTGGCCGCTATTATCAGGGTCACTGGTTAAAAATAGAGCAAACAAGGGCAGTGGAAATAGCGAGAGCAGCAGAGCTTGCACTCTTTATCAGGCTGAACAGTAAAGTCCCCAGTAGATGACAGGATGTGGCAGACAGATCATCTCTCACTGGGCTATACTGTAAATGCTCTGTAAATGCTGACAAAGCAATACACAACTCTGCCTATACTGATTGCGATCGTGGGTTTCAAGCACTGTTAAATGCTTTGCTATATACTATTTTGGTCCTTAGTCTGATCTTGACTGGTTTATTGAGGAGTTAATTATGGTGGTAGAAAAAAAATAACTCAAGTTTAGTTTCTACTTGTTACTAAGAATGACTCACTTCAGCCGGGGTGTTGTCTGGTCCCTCTGGAACATGTCCTCTCAGGTTGATGATGTGGACCTCCTGAGGGAGGCTGGTGGTGCCCCTGCTTGCACAGCCTGACAGGGCGGTGAAGCTCTTCAGTGTAGCCTGCACCGGGTGTCCAATCCCCACCGGCAGCAGCTCACAAGGGCTGCGAAACAATGGCCCTGCGGCGTAGAAAAGAATACTGTATGAATCAAATGGTACAGTATGTGAAATATCACGTCTCACATGATGATGACCTGTTTATATGCCCCATGGCCATAATCGTCCACTGCAGAAAGGAGTCAGTGTTACAACAGAAAAGAGGGTGCAGCTGTCTTCTTTTCAACACATAGAACTTAGAAATGCAACACCTTAATCTTTCTGAGAATTTAACCATTTATAATCTGTACTGATGTGAGCTGCTGGCGATGGTGGTCTAAGAACAGCAATTCCTCATTTTAAAAAGCAACTCTCTATAAAGCTTTTTTTTCCTCAGTGAAGCGTCACTCAGTCTGACCATCTATAAGCTGAGTAACGTGTGAGACATATAATCAACACACAGCACTCCAATTGTAATTCCCTTTAGGCAATTTCAACCGTTTTTATTTTTCCTTGAATGGTCAAATTTGACCTCATTCAATCACGTCGGAGGAAACCAGACTTTACACTCAAAGTGCACTCCGTCCTGTAAAGGCTGTAACCAACCATTAGCTGTGGCCTTCACTAGTTGCCTTGGAAATGTGACAATATCCTGGACAAAGCATGGTCTCTACAGTAATAATCCACTGAAATACACAGTCCATTGTGTCTTCCACAAGGGCAAGCAGTGAACTAAATAACTGGATGATTTGATCATTGGGATTTGATGAGTAAGCGATGACTCTTCAGGTGCTCTTACACCTGGCCTGTTTAGTTTGGCAAAAAACAACCTCAGGTCCATTTGCGTGGTTAGTACGGTTTGTTTGGGTTGGCGTAAAGGCTGTCAATCAAACCCTGGTGCAGACCAAACAACTGAACAGAGACTGCTTGAAAAGGTGGGTCTTGGTCTGCTTCCATGGACTCTGGTGCGGTTCGTTTGTAGTGTGAAAGAAAAGGAACCAACCACGGGATTATGATGATGATTATTAGTTATGATAGCAGATATGTGATTTTAGCATGATTTCAAAAGCTAAACCAATAATAAATCCACCTGCTGATCGTGAAATCTGCCTGCGATCTCATAATTGATCCTGATAAAGGCAAAGTATATCCCATAACCTATTTATGCTAATGTATATGACGAACTCCAAAACTGTCCAATAAACGCGTCTGATATGAATGTCACTTAAGTCAGAGTTGGTTGGGGCTGAAGACTTCAAGTTTTAAAATGATAATAATCTGAGGGTATGGAGTTAAAAGGAAGTGACCTATGTAGCCTGCTGCTTATCTCTGCTTGAGGCTAGCGGCTCAAGGCTACATTAGCCGCTACTTGCATGACACAACCAAATCCCCAACCAGACTGTCAGCAGTACAGTTGCATTGTGGGTGATTTTGGCACCACGAGGAAGAGGTGTGTGCAGAAAAAAAAGATAATTTCTCTGGTTCTGCTGTGTCGATGTCGATGCTCCAGAAGTGCAAAGTTGAATCAATGCAGTGTTTGAGCGCTGCTAATGCAATACGCGCAATGACTGTCAATGTTTACATCCATGTGTGGTGTTTTATTTTTTATAATTTCTGCACCATATATGCGCATGACTATTTATGTTTTATGTATACATATTGTCTTTTTATACTGCCGAGTGAAGTGGAGAGTTTGCCTGGCCTCCTCTAGTTTTCGCACTTATGATGTATGAGTAATATCCTGTGTCATCATATCCAATTCACTCATAACAAACAATCAGTTATCTTTATGGGCCGTGAGATTCCATATTAGTGTATTACTTGCAAAAAGGGACACTTGTTGTCTCTCTTTCACTCTCATTTCAGTCACAGACATCACAGCAGCCACGACGACAAAAAACACTAACTGAGCCCCAATCTATCAAGCTAAGCAGCAGTCAGCAGGGTGTAAGGACACTGAAGCTCAGTCTCTTGGGTCTCTATCTGTGTTTTGTCTACTGCACAGTCAGCTGTAATGAACAGCGTAGTGATCTGTGAACGTCTGGGCTACTTGACCTAAACAAAGATTCACTCATGTTTACAGGATCGCACTTAGCATCCGCGTTTGCTCTTGCATGATATGGAACTTCCTTTTCAGCCACAAGCTTTCAGGTGGTTAACAAACTTCACCACAGCCTGAGATCTTCTAATAGTGTAAACTTCCTTTATGTTTTACATCTGTGTGACCCACTTAAATATATTTAGGGCGTAACTTAACACAGAAATACAACCGTTTCACATGAAGTCAGGGTGGCACAAAAGCACAGCGTCAAGGTTTGAGTGAGGTACCAAACAGCTCTTTTCCATTAGTGTCATGTATACTATGAGAGCATCAGTGGCCAGGTTTATTCCATGGGGTCAGACCTTGTGTTTTACCCCACAGCCTTGTGCCAGCCAAGGGCCGCTCACATTTCAAACACATCACGCTAAACACGCAAAGGTTGCCAATAGCAATCAGATGGAGCATTTGGAAATCATTAAAGTCTAAGTGAAAGACAGTTGGATAACAATGTTAAATTCTCCCCCCGACTGACTGCAAAAACATAGTGCCTCAGCAGCGGGGTACAGCTAGGGGGAAAACTTTTTTTTTTTTTCTAGTCAGAACACATAGCTATTGTTTTCTGTTTCCGTGCTGTCCAATAAGCCTATGTTACGTCAGCATAAACCCAGAGATTATATATGGCATGGCTCCCCTCCTCTTGTTGTGAGAAAAAAACAGGGGCTTTATTGTAACCATATTTGTCTCTTGAGACAAACCCCGGGCCCTTGACAGATGTCTCAACCTGGACTTTGTGCTTTCTCTTGTTGCCTGTGAATCACTCCGAGCCCAGATACATTATCTTATTGGGAGCATACATATATTAGAACATGGCAACTGTGCTGATAAAAGAACGAGGCTTAATGGCAAAAACCTGTGGTGCATCAGTGTTTCAACCCCCGCCTAACCCCCTCCTCGCTCTTCCTCCCAAAGGACCGAAGCCTAACCATGTCATCAAGCCTTACTCCCACAAACACGTCTGAGGGCACTCCAACTCACTTTTTCCCCTCACACATGGAGAATAACAAACAACTGCCAGACAAACAAAGAAAAATGGAGCTCTTTCTGGGAGACTGCCAAAAGATTACAATACACATTGGGCAATGATCTGATTTTTCAAACTGCATAAAAATACAAATGGAGGCATGTGGGACAGAAGGGCCCCACGTGGATATAAAAGTAGGGCACTCAAAGTTTCGTGGTAATGTTTCTGCTGAGCCGAAGACTAGACTAGACTTTTATGACAGTTTCATAGATAGTCATTCTCACCAGAAGATGATTCATGATGATTTTGGTGACCTCCCTGACGACAACTTTGTTGCTGACATGAAGGAAAGAAAACAACCCCTTTGATTTAAATGATGTTGTGTTCATTTCTCTGGTGCCGCTCTGATGACAGTTTGTAGATTAAACCCACATCAACTGATCTTTCTGCCAGCCAGGGGCAGCAAAATCAAGCTCAAAGTCAACACGGACCTTTAAGAAACCTTTGAGTCTATATTGCTAACGTTTTAGCAAACAGTATTTATACATCCAGCACATGCAGAGCAACACTTGCATTCATTTTGGATTTCTGGCCATCTGAGGAATACAAGTCCAATATTCACTTTCCTTTTTGCTCTGGTTTGGTCTCCACCAACTCCTACAGAAGTAGGTTCATCAGCTAGTCACTCGCGTTCTCTGCCTTTTCGTGCTGGGTCGGGTAGCAGTGTGTTCATCAGAGTTTGTACCTTGACAACAGCTGTCTGATGCATGTGGTAACTACACTAATGACACCCACGAGACTGAACCAGAATAGTTAAGTCACAGGTGGTTAAACTAAAACAACATGCTGAAAGACAATGAAAAGCTCAATCGAGCTGGATTGCCCCCTCTGAGTTAGGGAGTTACTGCCCAAAGCGAAAGAGTTCAAGTATCTCGAGGTCTTGTTTATGAGTGACAGTAAAATGGAGCATGAAATAGACAAGCCTTTTAACGCCATCACAGTGGGCACTGCACCAAACCATCGTGGCGAAGAAGGAACTGAGCCAGAGGGCAAAGCTCTTAATTTACTGACCCATCTATGTCCCAACCCTCACCTCTAGTCATGAGCTTTGGGTAGTGACTGAAAGAATCAGATTGTGAATGGACGCGGTTGAAATTAGTTTCCTTAGTAGGGTGTCTGGGCTCAGCCTCTGAGATAGGGTGAGGAGCCTGGACATCTCAAAGGAACTCTGATTAGAGCCGCTGCTCCTTCAAGCCAAAAGAGGCCAGCTGAAGTGGTTCGGGCACCTGATCAGAATGCCTCCAGGGCACCTCCTGTTAAAGGTTTTTTGGGCACATCTAACTGGTAGGAGACCCCAGGGTAGACCCAGAACACGCTGGAGGGATTATATATCCCATCTGAGCAGGGAACGCCTTGCAATCCCCAGCAGGAGCTGTAGGTTTTGCTGAGGAGAGGAACGTCTGCAGTACTTTGCTCAGCCTGCTGCCCTGAAACCCTTCCCCGGATACATGGATGAAAACAGATAGAACTATAAGGCTGTATGATAATATTGTGTGGGTTTACTACTATGAGAAACCCCCTTCATATTACACATAGTAATCTGATTCATGGGTAATACAAAAATATTGATTATAGCAGCTTTAACTACTTGTAATTCAGTAAGAAAAGGAAAGGCCTTCATTTAAATCATCCACAACTTCAGGATTGTGTGGTGAAGGCTGCAGCCTCTAGAGCAGTGATACTCAACTTACAGCCCCAAGGCCAAAACTGCCCCACCACAGGGTGTCCGGTGGCCTGCCGATTGTTTTCTAATTCACAATGAAAATAAACTGATTCACACTGGGTTTTTATTTTGGTACTTCGAGTGTAAATAAATTGCCAGATTGCATAAAAAAATACAATTAAGTGCCAGGAACAGAAGTCTAGGCTACACCCCACATGTCCTCAAATCCTAGATATGTTTGATGTGGTATAATCCCTTTTAAATATAACCTTACATTTACAACTAAAAAGCAGTTGCA